TCTTGCGCAAGTATGGATTTGTCGATGAAAACAATATAAATGATATCGTTGAGATAAATGGCAGACAGGTAGTCGATGCTTTATCGATCGATGAAGATACCAAAGAGAAAAAGGTACCATAGTTAGAATACTTGTATTCCGGGATTATTAATGCATATCGCTCATTGTTTTTGTTTAAGGTCGAATTATTGCTTGAAGAAGAAATTTTGGATGAGTAAGATTTTTTCTTTTCTAAAGAAAGCAATGGATGCTCCACATTTGACGTTTTTATTTTATTTTATTATCATTATTATTATTATTCCCATTTTTTACTTTTAGTACATTCATTCTAGATAACCATGAATTTCCATTAGAATTGATAATAACAGGTAATATTAGGTAAAGAATGATCTTCTAATACGTTTTAATCTTATAATTCTTATGAACTTTTTCTTATTAGCAAAAGTGCTAATGATGGATAAAGCCCAGTTCCGATTGGTGAAGAAGTCAGGAAACTTTCCGGAACCCGAAATGTCGTCTGAAATAAAAAATCCACTTTTGAGAATTCTAGAAAAGAGACTCTCTGATTACAAAACTTCAATAGCTGTAAGAATATCATTCTTAATCAATAAGTTTCTCTATCATGCAATGCATATCCGCTCGAATTAATTCGAAAATTTCTTATCATAAAATAGGAAGATGAAGAAATATTGAAAAGGCAAGAAGTTTCATTGAGATTAAGGTATGCTGTAATGTTAAGATTAAGCGAAAAAAGAATACTTCAAAAACATATAGATTATCTTAAGTCGTTTAAAGTTGAGGATAACAATGAAGGAGGTAGTAACAAGAGAAGAAAGCTGAAATAGAGCGAATATTGATTGAATTATTAATCACTCCGATACATAAATCAAGAATACGTTTAGACATAGCCTCTTAAGAATTTTCTGTATAAATTATTAAAAGGTTCACAAAATGTGTACGTATTAGAAAGTTCGAAAAAATAATTAACTTTCATTATATATCATTTCTTGTGTTAAAAGTTTACTAAATTTTTAATATATATTTATTTATACTATATATGTAATTCTTGAAATAATATATTTATACTGTATTATTTTAAAATCCTGTATAGCTATATTAAAAAGTTTACCATTGATCCTGATTTTTCCGACTACGAAAGTCTATTTACTTTTAATTATGATAATTATGTATTCACTTCTCATTTTGGATTAACCTCACACTTACATAAAATTTACGCATATACATGTGATCTTTACATAATACTCATCGGGAAGTCAAATACAGATTTTATTATATTTATTGAATTCAAGGTTTTTTCTTTTGACGACCATGAAGAAACCACGTATTGCTGTTATCGGGGCTGGTACGATTTTTACATTTTCTTAGGGCTTCATAAGTAATGTTTGATTCATCTAAATAATTTTATGAAAAGGTTCGTCTGGCTTGGCGGCAACAAAACAATGTCTCGATGATGAACTGGAACCCGTTTGTTTCGAACAAAGCTCATACACCGGTGGGCTTTGGAAATATGTAGATATTGACAACACAGAAAACAAAGATCCTCATTCGTCAATATTTAAAAGTGTTATAATTAACACTTCTAGCAAAAA